TTGAAGCGTGGTATTTAATAAACCGGTATTTGAGATATATTAAGTATCTTCTTGGGGTGTAATGTTTCCGGTGAGCCGCATGGGTATTATGTAAAAATCTATAAAACGTCAAAAAAACATTTATCATCTTGCAGACTAGGTAGTTTTTAGGGTGCAAACAGTCATTTCACGTTTGCTCACTAGGATCGTTGTGAGCGTCCATCTATGGAGGAATGGCTCAACTACACGTATACATGCATTGTTGGTTGCATATGTGTTGTGAAGGCGAGCGGTCTGTAGTTTTCATCTCTGAATCCCTGAGCAGAAAGTTGGTTATTTGGTTGCATAACAAGATTGCATCTGGATGATTGCATGTATTAGTCTGCATGTGTATAGAATCAGCGATATTAGCTGTGTGAGGAAATCATTACTGAATATTCTGCCAATGAAGTATATCTCTCAGCTGTGCCCGACGGGTTATTTATATGTTGTCCTTTCGGAAGACAGGTTATGTTCAAAGTTATCAATCACGATTTTTTACGTTTTTTTTTTGCGTTTTCAAAAACTTTGTACAGTGAATGTAATTATTTCTTATCTCTCTCATTGTTGAAATTCAGCTTTGCATATGCAATTTCCAGAATGGATAAGAAAAAATGGAAGCGCAACTAATTTCTAACTTTGAATTTCAAATAAGTCTATTTGAGACAACAATCCAACGGAATTACCATCAACACATATTATTATTACACAAATCCTCACTATGCACCTATGCATTGCCGTTACCTGTAGTAGTGCCACTTCTGAAGCAGATTTTACATCACATGAGAACCATAACTGAAGCCTCATGACGTTTAGGCAACACGTACAACTACAAAACAAGTTCACAACGTCTCCATCGCTGGTGCTAAGTTAACGTCTTGTATAAAATCGTACATAATTTCACAAAAACCAAAATAATGTAAAAAAAATTGGCATAATGTCACTTTTCAAGATACGTAATACCCGTGCCGGTCCTGTGAGGTAATTCTATATGTCGTACAGTACCATCGTTTTGCCAGTGGGTAAACGTAGTTAGAAGTTTTTAGCTTCCCAACTTCCCGAGCCACTTCGGTCTCCTGTTTATCTTGTTCAGACGAAACGTAATGAAATTGCGTCAACTGGGATATCCAGGTATTTGAAGTCCAATGAAAATTTGTTTAAACTTTAAAATTATGTTCATAGGTGGACTATTCAAATAACTATTTTGTAACTGGATATAATCAATCTCGGTTAAAATGCTTATCAAAATGTCGAAAAGAGAATATAGAATTACAAATTGTGAACCTTGTTTATTTTCTTGCGGCGCTCAAACTTATTGCTTGTAGGTAAGTATAGAGTCGCCTATTTGGCATAAATGTACTACAATATTTTTAGAATGAGCCCAAGTATCTGAAACGAACATTTCTGTCACGTTTTTTTGTTTCAATCACATAACCTTGGAACATGAATGTTGACTAATCTTGGATAGGCAAAATGTCTTAAAACTGGATATCCAAAATTAGGAACCCAATTATATGTGTCCCAAAATACAATTTTTTGCATTTCTTCCAGTAAAATGCCTAAGAAGGGACTCCCGCATAAAAAATGGCATCCAGAGAACATGGAAAAAGCCGTAGAGGCAGTTAAAAATAGTGAGTTTATTACTTAAAGGCATTAAACTGCTTCAACGTTCCAAAGTCGACTCTGGAACCAAACATGGCAAATACGAGTACTTGGAAGAGCAATGCACAATTGCACACTACGGATGGGTCGGAACTGAAATGGAAGAAGACCTGGTACAGTACTGTTAGGAAATGGACTGAAGATTTTATGGTCTATAACTTGCAGACATTTGCAGACTGGCACACCAGCCTGCTATAAGAAGTAAAATTTCCCATCCCTTCTCAAAAGGAGACGGTAATGCCGGTAAAAAATGGCTCTGAATTTTCTCAGACGTCATCCTAATCTATCTTTGAAAAAACAGTTTCTCTGATATTTTGGAACTAGCTATGGAGAAGGTAAATTTTAATCCACTGAGAGTTTATAATGTTGACGAAACTGGGTATCACCACAGTACAATCCAAGGTTGCTAGAGTCATCAACCTGAAAGGAAAGAAACAAGTAGCAGCCGTGAATGCTCTGAGATGTTCCTTATGAAGACGACTGAGATGCCGAGCAAGAGAGTGACGTAGAGTGTATTATTTTCTGCACTGCACGTTATTCAGACGACCAACATGGAGAAAACTGGGTATAGTGCTCAATTTTCTTCAGATGGCCACATGAAGACTGTCCTGGTAGTGACAAAAAAGCTTACGTGTGCAATTTTTGTTTGGAAGAATAGGTTCCTGATATTGCATACGGTATACAATTTCATTTGAAAAAGTGCAGTTTTATTACTTGTTCCTATTTTTTATGCCGCTTACGGGTAAAATAAATGTTTTAGTATGCATCACGTGCTTTTGTTTGAGTAATAGCACATTTTGAGCCCAAACAAATAATTACAAAAGTTGTTTTTCACCTCAGAAAATTGAATTAAGAAAAAGTATCCCAAATTAGGCCACTTTACTGTATGTTTACCTATTTAATATATCTCTGCAAGCTTTAGCATTTAATTTCTGAATGAAAAAAAAAAACATTTCGATTCTATTTGATTTATCGGAACTGACATTTATTAAATGTCATAAGATGAGATGGATTTTTACATTTAAATTGAACGTCACGGATATATGTATTTATTTCCGTTCTAAAATAGCAAACAGTTTTATTTATGTTATGGTTGAGGCATTTAACCTTTGGATAGGAAGCTTAAAATATAATAAAAATAATATGCCCTTATTCAGTTCTGTATATAGTAAAAAATATACTTTTAGTTAGTTTCTCAATGCGAAATTTGCTTTTTGTCTCCCGTCCTGGCAAGCATGCGACTTGCACTTAGGTAATTTGAATTGCAAAAAATGGGTTTTCGTCGAGATTTCTGGTTATTCAGCGATTTTTGGAAAGTTTCTTCTATAAGGAGTATGATACTCTAAGGGTGTTGGTGAAAAACTATCATCAGATTGTTGATATACATGTTAGGTTCGCCCAAGAAACAGGTTTTCGTCTGGAAAGGGCACGTGAACTTTTTTGAAATTCCATCTCAAAACTCAGTTTGTTGCACATATCAGCCCAAAACTGTTCTGATTCAGCCTGATAGGTAGTAGACCAGAATGGTTCCAGAGTAGTTTCCTGTAAAAACCCGAATGCAGCTTATCCTATTTGTTGTAAACGAGAACAGGGAGGGGGCGAGATTTTCAAAGAACGACACCTACCGCAAAATGAAAGCCGAACCATTGATTCTAATCCTGGTCAGCAGATGGAATGCGCCTCTTATTGCAAAGAGCATATACAAGAGAGTTCTGAGTCTCAGTCATCGGATGGTAATCAATCGGCGGTTAAGCGACATCATTGACCATGTGCTACGTTTTAGATAGACCGTTGATTTTTTGGTCACTGCATGATATTGTCATGTATCCAACATATCTGCTGGAGTTAGGTTTGACCTATATTTAATTCATTCATTTTGTTCTGTTCATAAAATGTATAAAGCAGATCAAGATCACCCATAATACCACACCAATGACAAAATGGGACTTATGCGAAAGCGGATTACCCAAAACACTTCTATACATTTACCAAAGGCGGATCTACTCGTAGAGAAAGCAAGGAGTTCTAGGCTCCCCTAGATCCGAAGTCTGCCATGTTTTTTATTGTTTGTTTCCAAGAAAATTGTATATATTGCTCTATCCTGGTGTAAAAATTATCAGGGACGTGCTCCTTCCTTCTAGACGTATAACCCCCCTCCCCCGCTCGCAGGGGTATTAGCTCTTAGAGCTCAAGGATGCAGACACCACCCTCTCCCACTAATCAACTTTCAATATATCCTTACATTCCGGCAGATGAGCATCTACCTGACAATGAAAGCTATCACCACCACGCTATCCCAGCTGTACGGAGTAAATTCTACTATTTACTAAGCAAGCTCTGTTCTTTGTATTTCTGTACTGGTATATAGAGCACTATTCGTCAAGGCATTTATATCCATTTTTGTGTCCGCTTTTGTAAGATTGGTGAAGCTAGCAAGCCGAAAACCTTTCATTTTAATTATTCTCTGTAATACAGCGCCAACAGAGAATGTTATAACTTTTGTATATTTCAAGTTCTTGGAATCATTCAGACTTGACAAGTTGATAACGGGGGTCATTTTTCAAGTGAGAATGGCACCAGAGAAACTTTATTTATGAATCTAAATTGTATCACAAACTAAAGCATAACCTTTTTTCATTTTTTAACGCTGTCGCCATAAATATTTAGCGTTGGTCAAGTCGTTCCCCTATCTTTTGGATCTCGTCGAGACAGTAAGTTTCTGCTTCTTCCAAAATGTTATCATTTTCCAAGCGCTCACCACAAAAAAAAGTTTTGGAAAAAGATGAAAGTCTGATGATGGTAATTCAGGGGTGTATGATGTGTGATCCAGTGATTCGCAAGGAAACGTCTCCAATTGAGTATGTGTTCTTGCCGCAACTTGAGGAACAATGCAGCAATGGTGTAGGCCTCGCCGACGGTTTTGAATACTGCGCCTAGTTCAACAAGCTGCTGCATCTTTTTTTGCATTTAAAAACCGTCATACTGGGCACACTTCACACTTGGCGGGCTTACTAATTGACTTGGTGACAAACAAAGCAGGATAACTCCACAACCAACTCCGACAGATACTTGAAACGTAGTGACAGGCTGGCCAAGTTGAACACGTGTCGCGTAATAGGAGGCGCGGGTACGATGCTTTATAGGTTCTTACGTGAAGAATGGCCCGGATTACATATATATGTAAGTAAAACTGGCAGTATTTTTGACTACACGAAACCTCCCAATTGATAAAGCACAAAAGAACGATAACCATGTGGGCGGCAACGAAAAATCAACGGAGAGCAATAGTTTCATTGTTATTTATAGTATTTGGTACCCACCCAGAAGTATTCGGCCTTGAAGCCGGGTATCCTGCGATGTGACGCCCCCACTTGATGCAGGAAGTCGAAGAAGGCGTCCAGGTTATCCAAACCCTTGATGCCCTCATCCAGTGTGGTCATCACCGTGTTCGCATGCTCCTGAAGTTCCAGACTGTTTGCCTGGTCTTCTTTAGTCTTCAGCTCTCGGAATTTCTCGAATAAGGTTAAGAGTTCGCCATGTTCTTCGAATAACCTGTAACAAAAGACAAGAATTATACACATTGTACGTTATACGATGGTAATTCTAAACGTATGGTCTCCTACTTTTCAAGTACGAATCGTTCCTTTTCTTAATAATTGATATTTTTGAAGCCTGTACGTTCTGCTATCTTTCCACCCTTCAGGTATATTTTTTTTTATAGAAGTTGTGATAGTTTCTTTATGGCGATGTCATAAAGCGCGCCATCTGGTCCTTGATACGCAAAAAACGTCAAGTGTAATGGCCTGTCATGGTGAAGGTAGTGTAAGCAAAGTTCTGATTCCAGGTCCAACGCATTCTTTAAGGTATTAGCTTCAAAATGGGAAACATTTTTCATCCATTTCTACTACTTTATTTTTTTCTTTTAATTTTTGCCAGATCTTTGAATAAATACGTGGTAAGTATGAATGGACATTGGCCAGAAGTAGAATTGAATTAAAATAGACCAATGTGCGATGAACTGAAAAATAGGTAGTAAAGTATGGTTAGCCGTAAACACAAAAATATACAAATCCAGATCCACCAAATGATTTTTTTATGTTTACAGTGGAATGCGTTTTTAAGTACTGTGTACTAAAAAGTTTACTTTTATTTTTTTATACCGCGTAGGCAGAAGCATAAATACCAGGGCACCGCGGCTTCTATGAGGAGCTCAGAGAAACTTACAATGCCTTTGATAACAAGCAATTATGGTCTCCTAGGATACCAGAAAATGACGCTAAATAATTTTTCTGATTTTATTGTCAATAAATTTCGCAATATTGTTTTTAAACAGTGCTAGTCAGCTTATGAAGTGAAATAGGTAGAATGATTTGTAAGCTATGTTTATGCAGAATAATCTGTTACTCATGAAATAGTCTTATCAACTACCAATCTTTTCTTGTGAAAAAATCGAAAAAACACGATGCGAAGTATTATTTTTTTAACAAAAAACGTTCGTGTAGGTGCAAAAATCCTCGTCATTGACTGTCACCAGCACTCATGCTTCTTGTTAAAATATTACTTAGCAACGCATTTTATCGATTTTTTCGGAAAAATTAGATCCCCTTATGATATTACTTATAAATATATCCAGTACAAGTTAAATTTAATTGGTAAGCTTTTCAGTATACATTATCTTGAACGCATTTTACTGAAAGTCTCACTGAGATTTGAGCCTAACAGCACATCTCTAAATGAATTGTGGGGCTACAGGTCGATAACTGGTTACAGGCGAGGATTCTAGTTACAACCTCCTGGCTGGTTTCACGGTTATATGTCTGAAACTAATTTTTATCCTCCTGTGAAAGGAGAAGCAATTTGATCAAGTTAAATTAAAGATTCTATATGGAATTGGTTCTTAAATCGAGAGTCGTCCATTTTATCTGGAACTTCTCCCTCCGGTTAAAACCGGGTCCGATTTAAAAGTTTCGAACTTAATTAACCAGCCCTGTGCGGTGCTGCACAGCAGCTGCCCATAAAAATTGGATCATCAGCAAGGGCGGAATTGCTTGATTTGCAGCTTTGAACAGCGGTTTGGGATTTAGAGCAATGTTTTTGGAGCTTACGGGGACTGACACCTGTATTCCGAACCTGCAATTTTTGTGCAATAGCTGTAAAACTTTATAGACAATTTTCTCTATTATTATTAGAAAAATATTAGTTCCCTTGTATCACGTAGAAAATTGTCAGTATATTTGAATTCCGGAAATAGCAAATGTTCAACCTTATTTTGTAGTAGATCAGTTAAACAGACATATTATTTAACTAGTCCATAGACATCTTTTCCTCACCCTACCGATAGTACCGTCGATCGGGCAAGATCGCTTATCCCCCATACCACGGACTATAATGCCGCTCTGCCCAGAGAGAGCGCGTGTGCAAGATATTTCTCCATAATTCCAACTTCAAGAGAGGGAGGGGGGTACCGAGAAATCTTTGTTGGAACCGTATAAGTCCGAATTAGTAAAAAATCCAGATTTTCAAATGTGCTAGCAATAAATATTAGGCTGTTGTACAATTTTATAGCTTCTAAAAGCTGCAATTTCATTTACTGCGGCAGTGAAACGAAAATTGCAATGTTGGGAAATTTAAATTTGACTAAATTCAAACCAAGTGTCGATATACCGGATATTCCGCCATTTTTTTTGAACAGTGCTGTCAGTTGGTTGTCATGAATGGTTGGTATCATATTCTTTCATATGAGTTGACTCCTTATGTATACCACTACTGTAAGGTGTGTGAATAATAGCAGAAAACAGACCTCCCACATGCTACCTGCTCTCACCGTCGATCTGGATTTATGACGCTCCGGGTTTTTGATGTCCGGATTTCCGACATTAAACCGTATTTTGTTTGTAGTTGATACACACCAAAAAAGTCAACAGTCGTAATCACATAATTAATTAACATTATAGTGCATATTTTAACTTGGATGTTCGTAATCAAGAGAAAATCAAGTAGTGTCGCAGTCACTAAAAAGTTTTTAGGAATTTGGTTCCCGAAATATGTTGACGTTGCTGAGAAAATATATGTTCTGGAATTGCATTCCGGATATTCGCTGAATATATAATAATGATAATAAATAGTTATTATTGCCAAGATAAGCGTACAGAAAAAAAATACTTAGGACTTGAACAAATTTCCTAATAAATGGCAGAATTCGGATCTCACTACCATGTAGAAAGTTACAATAGTTCTTCACCTAGAACTTTACAAGCAAGAAAATTGAGCCAAAAACAGTTAAAGAAAACCAGAAGTGAAAAACTGTTGTATACACAGAAAGAGGAGTTAAATTTAGTATGTTTCACATTATGTAGTCATCATCCAATAGAAGACGCTATATTGTTTTTTTAAATAAATTCATAGACAAACTCTTGTATGAGATGAACAGCCATGCGATATTGTGAGAAAAAAAGACCTTTGAATAACGATGTACAGAATCTAGGAGTAGAAATTAAATGTCTGTAACGCAGGCTGAAACTGTGGACGTCTGTACTGTAACGAATTTTGTTATACAGATTTGCAGGGGTTTGTGGTGATAATCTTATGAATCATACAAATTAAATGCAGGATCCCTATTTCGTTCGTAAATGTTATACTCTGGAGTAGTGATCTCGCCTCCTAGCCCCCATGATAAAACGCATGCAAGAATTTTGACGTTTTTGCAATCTCTCTTCATGACGTTTACGTAAACATGGCATAAACAGTACATCTGCATAAGTAGTATGTGACAACACTACCTCCACCAGATTTTTCTTCAATCTCTGTGTGAGGATACGTCTACTATTATATTGGATTTTAAGATTACCGTATCCTCTTTTTAACACAAATGTGACATGCTCCGAGGACCCGAGTGAATAATCTAGGTACACACTCAAATTCTTTGTCACTCCTTTAGAATGATTCTTTCATATTTTATACTAACTTAATTTTACCAAGACATCTGTTTCGAGCCTTACTCCTACCAAAGAGCATCACCACTGATTTCGAAGGGCTTAGTGTTACATATTACTTCTCAGATGTCGATGCTCACATACTTTTTCGATGTCTTCAGATGTTATACAGGGTGATTCACAAGTCGTGACCAACAGTCATCATACACAGGACCGCATTTCAAGGGGGGTCTTCTATGTAATATTTTGAAGTTTAAAAACAAAAAGCAATTTTTTTAATATCTTCAAAACCGTCAACTGGAATGAACTAAAATTTTGATATGTGGATTTACTTAAGTATTATCCACATAGAAAGGTCTTTATTCAAAATTAACGTGCACCAGTGGCGGAGATTCAAGGGATTAGTGGCATTATTTTTCCAAATAAAAATAGTTACAGAAAAGTTCATATATAGTTACTAAACTCTTCCACTATCAAGATACATGACATAAATAACTACTATACTAATAAATACAATTTTCAATGTCAAATACTTCAGCGTATTTTCAAAGTGGATCGGATTGAGGTTTTTTATACCGATTTTGCCCCAAATATTGAAACCAATTTTTCTCCAAAAGGTAGTCTGTCCTAAATTTCTCAAGAGGAGCGATTCATGTACAATTGAATGAAAAATGTTTCATGATGTCATAATTTCTAACTTTCTACACCATCGGTATAGCCTCAGACACGAAAATTCTTGAATTTACTGACTATGATGCCACAGTGTACAATCATTTTATTCAATATCTTAATCTATTCCAGAGATATATATTTTTTTAGATTTCAAAATTATAATGCGGCACCCATTATTATATGACCTTTTCGTGTTATTTTTTGAGCTACTCTATGCCCTTCAAATATTGCCACGTTTTCCTTCCTTCTAATAAATTACTCTGTCTCATATGCTGAATAATAATAGGTTCCATCTGAATGACGCGGAGTGTATCTACGATTTACTTTGTGCTGGCTATCGAATACTTACATATTCTCATTCATCATGAGTATGGATTGGGTACTTTAGCTTTCATGAAGAATAATTATAAGCAAATTGGTTGGGAAATACGGAGAAAGGTAATAACGAGCATTTCTGGGATTTTTTCGGTCATTTAGTTCCCAAAATGTGCTAATTGTTTCGAGATAAGTTCAAAAAAAGCGATAGGTATTCTAGTATATATAAAAAATCATCGCTCTGCTAAATGCTTAATGTCAATCGCCATGCATTTCAGTCAAGTTCTTACCGTTTTTTGGCTAGTGGTAGCTGCTTCCCAATGTAAGTGACCTATACTTAATTTTTTATCTTTAGAAATGAGATTTTACCATTCCCAAGGTTTGTGTTGAGCTTGCATTTTATCCTTAAGTCAGCCTTATAATAGTATAAGAAACAAAATATCAAGTAGAAAATAAATAACAAAGGTGGCATGATTTCCAAGGGTTCGTCCTTCGTACCTATTATAGAATGCATTATGGTCATTAAGATTGTTATATTTTTTGTTCCTAAGAATTGACCACAGCTATTATAGTTGTAGTATAATTATCAGAGTTTCATTCTACAAATGCTATATTAGCTCTTTTGGGGCTTATTATTTGCTCCACACAGTTTTCGGATTGGAGTAAGCATTTTTTCAAAACCCTTTTGTAATTTTGGAATGTACAACCTTCATGCGAGAATCAAGAGAGCGGAGGGTAAATGGGCCAACTGATTCTGTTAGGGATAAGTTGAATAGGCGAATGATTTAGCTTTGAATTTTTGTGTAATCTTACAGATAATACCGCTTTATTTCTGTTATTACTGAAAACAACAAGAGCAGCAATAACAATAATAATAGCAATTAAACTCATGTAAGGAGGAGGTTAATAATAATTATAGTAATAATCAAAGAAAGCAAATCTCCTCTATATCAGAGTGTTAAGCAAGCCAATGATAGGATAGCAAAAATTTAGGGCATCCTAAAATGAAAATTCAAAATTAAAGAATATAAAAAAGCAAAAAATTGCCTCCACCACACAAGAGGCTGCATTACACGAAACTGTTGGATACAGTTGATAACTTTGATCGGAATGCGCCATCAGACGCAAAGTCCATCAATTTTTTGAAAAGCAGGAACCATAGACAAGGTATTACAGGAGGATAATAGTGATGATGACTTACCTACTCTCAAGAGGACCACATTCTATAGTTTACTCAAAGAACTTCATTTTTGAGTATAGAAAACGAGGCATAAATAGTATTTTAATTATTTAAAATCAATAAAGAAATATCGCGGCCAGGGCAGGAAGATTTATTACTTGGATGAAATCTGGATAAATGCAGGACATACAAAACCCTAAGTATGGGCCGACTCTACAATTAAATCAGCAAGACAAGCCTTCTTCGATGGACTAACCACTGGCCTGAAGAATCCGTCAGGTACGTGTAACTAAGCAATTCGTCGTTTGTGTTGTAAAAATGATGTCAAGTAGACTGAATCTATGAGCCCACGCTGAAAACTTAGCTACGCTAGACTTAGCTATATCTGGTAGATTTGGGAGCAACACCTGTTAGATATCCTGTTTGTATTATTATTAGTTTTCTCGAATATTATATGAAATAATTATTTTGAGAAAATTAAGACGATTTGTTATCTGTCACATTGGCAGTGGAGATGGCTTTGTGCCCACTGCCCTATATGCATTTGAGTCAAAGAAAACGACCGACTACCATCAAGAAATGGACGGGAGCTCATTTGAACAGTGGTTTAAAGAAACGCTCCCAAAGCTTGAAGACAATGCCGTCATTGTACTTGATAATGCTGCATAACACACTAGAAAACTAGAAAAAATTCCCACAGTGTCCACAAGAAAGGCAGATATTCAACAATGGCTCTTATCAGAAGACATTACTTTCAAATAAAATATGGTCAAAGCAGAACTTAACCATCTAGTCAGGCAGCACAAATATAAATATAATCTTAATGTTATTGACGAAATGGCTAAAAACCAAAATAAGACCGCTTTAAGGCTACCCCTTATCACCGCGAGTTAAATCCCATTGAAATAATTTGGGCAAATATAAAAAACTATGTGACTTCAAACAATAGAACATTAACATTTTTTGACGTGAAAAAATTGTTTTATGAAGCTGTCAACAAAGTGACGGCAAACAATTGGAAAGATTGCATGTGTCACGTTCAAGAGACAACTGAAACAAAGATGTGGGATCTGGACAATATGATCGATATTCAAATTGAACCCGTAATAATTAAAATTAACCATTCGGACGATGATTCAAGTACTTCCATACAATAAAGAATTTTGAAAAGTATGTGCACTTTCTATAAAAATAATCATTTATTTTGTTAGACTATTCCAAGACGATTGAGGAAAATACGGACCTGTATAATCTCGCTTTTGAGCATGTTGTGTTTTGTCTGGGCGTAAATAGACTACGTATGGGGTATAGTCTGGTTGTTTCTTATTTGCAGATGGGAAAGCAATCGATGTCGACTTGGCCAAGGGACTTGCAGGCACAGCTGCAGCAGCAGGATTAGCAGGCACAGCTGCAGCAGCAGGACTTGCAGGCACAGCTGCAGCAGCAGGACTTGCTAAGGCAGGGCTTGCTACTGCTGCTTTAGCAGACGCAGGGGCAGCCGGGATTGCTGGGGCAGCAGGGGCAGGCGGGCTGGCTGGAGCAGCCTTGGAGGCCAAGAAAGCACTATTGGGTATGCATAACCGTAGTGTAAGATTCACGACATACCGTACTGTGATATGTTGTAGATGTCTTACATGTTATTTTGTTTTGCAGTGAAAGCTGCTCTGATTAAGTTGATCAAGGCCAAGCTAGCTGCTAACGGTGCGTATTCAAATACTTATATTCTATTTAGTGTGTTAGTTTCACGAAGATGTATTATTCCTCGTCATACCTCTGCT